GGATCAGCACCTCCTCTGGTCCCATCATTACTCGAGCCTTGGGGGAGACACAAAATGGAAGAGGTGTTCAGTGGCTCACCTTCTCCCATGTCCAGCTCCCTCCCTGTGTCTTTCCCCCTCCCTCACCAGCTGACAGTGCCCAGGTTGGGGGCAATGCCCCCTGGGCGTGAGGTGGACCGCCCAGGTGGAATCAGCAGCTCCCGCCAACAGGTAAGTGCAGCGGCCCAGGAAGCGGTAATGGTGCCCATCAAAGGTTCGGTAGTGGAAGCCTGACCAGGTGGCACAGGTGGCTGAGGGATGCTGGCGCTGGCTCCAGAACTGGGCCACAGCCCCCACCAGGGGCTGCAGGAGGGCTGGAGAGGGAGAGCTGCCTGGAGGAGAATCATCAACTATGAGCCTCTGCGTGTGAAGGCAGGAGGGTAGAGGATGAGGGCACGGGGCTTCTTCCAGAGCAGGAGGCAGGTGGAGAGTGTGTGTTCACTCTAGAGGCAGGAGGGATGGGAGGTGACTCTCCCAGAGGACAGGGGAAGGGGCATGGGCCCTGCAGGAAGGCCCAGAGCCCAAGAATTCTGTAGCAGTGCCTGCAGGGGGAGAAAGTGATGGCCAGGGCAGCAGACTCACCTGGGCCGTGTGGGCTAGAGCAGCTGAGGCAGGCCTGGGAGCGGCCATCCTGCCAGCTGTGTCCCCAAGGCCAAGCACAGCACTCTGCCAGGCTTCGTGCAGAAGCATTAGCTGAGCCTGCCTGCAGCTGGCACTGCCGTGTGGCAAAGCAGTGGCCCCCAGGGTTGGCCTCTGCAAGGGCTGTGGGGTGGAGGGAGAGAATGGGGCAACCCACAGAGTCAGCCTAGACCCAGCTTCCCTCCCCAGGCGGCCTCCACAAAACCCCAGATTTGGGTTAATAGCAGGTGCTTACCCAGAGTGCAGTGGGTGCCCCCCCAGCCTGGACAACAAACCCTCACTGTCCGGTTCCTTGCAGTGGGCCGGGTTTCTGGGGGCCTGGGTCCACCGAGCGGGCAGCAGGGAGAAGAAGTTAATATTCAGCCCAGCCCTGTCTCTGTCCCCGTCCCTGAGGATGGCCTGGGACATTCAATCTGGTCATCTATTCTCTGAGTGACTTTCTCATGTGATTGCCCTTCCAGGTCTCAATTTCCCTTTGTGCAAAGTGAGAGTGATGTTGACAAAGCAGACTGGAGACGTAGTACCTCTCCCTGTGCTGCCTATGCCCAATCCCACACTCCTGACTCTTCTTGAGCCCAGCCAGACATGTTTCCCAAATGCCTGCTTCTCCAGGGCACCCCGCCCCCCAATTCACCTTCCCCTCAGAGTATTGGCTCCATTGCTCTCTCCTTCTCAGCAGCCAACCCAGACTCCCACCCTCACTTACTTGTAGATGGGACAGAGGCCTGCACGTCCACCCCAGGACAGGTCCAGTTGCCAGCCCAGGCGCTGGTAATGATAGAGGCTGGTGCAGGGCACCAGGTCCTCCTGGCGGGGGGTCACTTCCTCCTCCACCAGGAAGGTTTCCATATGCTCACACCATCGCCTGCCCACAGATGGGAAATGACAGCTACTGTAGCCACCAGCCCCTCTATTGCCAAGAAGCCCTGTCCTGTGATCCCACTCCCAAAAGAGACCCTCCCAGGGAAAGTTTAGTGAAATGAACAGGAGGCTGGTTGGGAGCAAGAAGCCTAGGGGACAGCATCTGGCTGCCCCAGAGGGTCCTGTTCAAGAAGCAGAAGCAGAGGATCTTAGCTAGAGGTGCCCCAAGCTGGGCTGCTTACCCGTTAGCCAGTGCCCATGCCATCCTAAAGAGGAGGGCGGGGAGCAGCATGGTGCTCCCCCCAGGTCAGCTTTGGGGAACTGTGAGGCTTGGGCTTAGGGAAGGCAATGCTGTGGCAGGTGAGTGCTCTACAGCAGCCAGGTGGCAATGTGTCCAAGGCAGCCCAGAAAGCTAGAACAAGGCCCATGGGGCTGGGGAGGCTTTATCTCAGCCCCATGCCCTGGGGCACCAGCTGCTCAGAACCAGATTGGACCTGCCTGCACATTGCACAATCCCCTTGGAGGCCAACTCTCCCTGGAAACCATCACCTTCCTGCCCCTCTTGTGTGTGTATAGATGCATGTGTGTGTAAGCGCTCAGTGGGGGAGCGCATGTGCCCGGGGCTATAGCCAGACACTCTGAGCCTCGGATATTTTCCCCTCAGGCTGTACCACAAATTATTGTGGACTCTGGACAAGCCACTCTCTCTTTCTGAGCCTCAATTTCCTTGCTAGTAAAAAAATTTCAGGGGCTTCCCAGGGATGTTTGCTTGGGTGGGACTCAAGGGCTCCACGTTGAAATTGTGTGTGTGCAGGGGCACCTGGGTGACTCAGTTGGTTAAGCATCAGACTCTTGATTTAGGTCCCGGTCATGATCTCAGGGTTGTGGGATCAGGTCCTATGTCAGAGCTCTGCACTCAGCGGGGAATCTACCTGAAATTCTCTCTCTCCCTCTGCTCCACCACCCACCTCGCTCTTGACCATGTTCTCTCTCTCTTTCTCAAATAAATTCATCTTAAAAAAAAAGAAAAGAAATTGCGTGTGTACGCGTTTTTCTGAGGGTAGTTCCATAACTGTTATTAAATTCTCAAGAGGAACTGTGACCCCACAAAATGGTTAAGCTATTGTATAAATGACTTATATGGTCTTCTTTCTTTTATTATTATTTATTTATGATAGAGAGAGAGAGAGAGAGAGAGAGAGAGAGAGAGGCAGAGACATAGGCAGAGGGAGAAGCAGGCTCCATGCACCGGGAGTCCAATGTGGGATTCGATCCCGGGTCCCGGGTCTCCAGGATCGCACCCTGGGCCAAAGGCAGGTGCCAAACCGCTGCGCCACCCAGGGATCCCGACTGATATGGTCTTCTAGCCCTAAAATTCTGAGTATGATTCTCTCCCTGCTCCCTTTCCTGCCTCCTCCTGCCCCCTCTCCCACTAGGCACTTGGGAACCAGTGAGCAGAAGGAGCTGAGTTTCCAGGCTGGTTGGACTGTGTGGAGACAGGGGGGAGAATGTGTGCCCTCTCCTCTGTGGTCTGACTCCTTAGGGGGGTGATTATGTGCGGCTGGCTGGGTCCATCCCGGTCTCCTTTTGAGAGAGTCTTCTAGGGTTCAGAACCAGGAAGCCTGGGCAAGGAACACAGCAAGCCTCAGGGAGGATCAGCAAGGGTGGGAAGTGTGTGTGTTGGCGGGGGAGGTGCATAGGAGACAGAGGCCTGGAAGGCAGCCCCCCCACCCCCAGCGCTGGGGGGTGAGGCAGCCTCATGGGATAATCTAAGTATCCGGTTGGGGCACAGCTGGCCCAGGTGAATCCTGGTTACCTCTTGGTTACCAGCTTCCAGGACACCCAGGCTGGAATGTGGCCCAGGCCTCAGATTGCATAAATCTCCAGACCCCCATAGTTACCCCACCTAGGGTGAGAAGGCTGCTGGGAACCAGAGCCATGCCAGGGATTTCTCCTGGGCCTACCATTGGTCCTGTGGCCCAAAGAGGGTACAGAGAGTTCCCTTCGGGAGCTCTCAGGTAGAGTCCTCAGAAAAGGCCTGGGTTGAACCTTGGACATGTTGCTGTTCCCAGTCTCTCACTCATGTACCCTATACACTCTCTCCCTGTGCCTCGCATGCTCACACCCCCACTGCAGGTCTCCCAAGGGCAGACAGGTGTTCACAGGCTACCCTAGCACAAAGAGACACATTCTGCTCCCAGGGCGGTAAGCTGGCTGTGCACCAACTTGCTGAAGCAGCCTATCCAGGAGACTGCAGAGCCTTTCCCAGCTGATTCCGAGGTACCTGTGCCCTTCCAGGTAACACCTACTCCCATGCCTCTCCTAAACATCAGGGAATATTGATGGTACCCCTGCTGTACGCTGTGCTTCTTGGAAGACTCCCTCCCAGCTCTGGATTCCAACCACAGGTGATAAAGGCAACACTTGGATTGGGGAGAAACCCAAATCACAATCCCCCTTTCCCCTAAAGGGGGCAGGAGGGAGGAAGCTGGAAGCCAGGGGAGATTGGAGAGAAAGAAAAGGGAGAGGGGGCCTGAAATAACCAGCCCACATTTCAGCTGGACAAGGACAGGCTCCCTATAGGGAGCTTTCAGAAGGAGTCAAGTGCCAGGGTGGCAAGGCCGAAGAAAAACATCCTAACCCGGGGCGGGGACCCCAAGTCCCCCAGAAGCAGGATCTGAGGGCTAAGGGCATACCTCCTCACCTAACTGGTACAGGTTGCCAGGCCAGTGGGAGGACCAGCCCCTACCCCGCCCAGAGAACTCTCCCCTCCTCGCAGCCCCCTCCCCGGACCCCGCCCTCAGAGTCTCCGCCCAGCGGGTCTCCAGCTTCACCCCCTGGTGCCCCCTCTCCAGCCCCGCCTTCTCCTGGAAACCGGCTCAAAGCCCGCACCCCAATTTCTGCTTCAAAGGGCCCGTTCTCGGCTGCCCCAAGGGACCCCCGCTCCAGTCGCAGGGGTCGGATCCGGTCCTCCGGAATCGGGGTCGGCGGTCGTGGGTCGGAGTGGATCCGGGGGCACTCGGGGTGGAGAGCAGGGGCGGGGTCGGAGTTTCCCAGACCAGCCCCGCGGACCCACAGTCCGGAGACTCGATCCCGCCGCGACGCGCGGCACAGATTCGCTCCCGCGGGGCACTCGCAATTCAAAGGCTGCGCCGCCGACACACAGTGGCCCCCCTCCCCCGAGCACGCCCCCTCGTCTCCCCCTCCCCAACTCCGTACCGCACCCTCCCCTCGCGCTCCACCTTTCCCCTGGCTCCTCCCTCGGCGCCAGCCAGCACCCTCCCGCGCAGCCCGCGTGCCCTTCCTCCCTGCCTCCTCTCCCTCCTGCACCCCTCCCCCCACACTCCTCCCTTCCCTTCCCCCCTCTTCCCTCCCCCCCCCCCCCGGTCCTAGGCTCCCACTTTCCATCACCTACTCTGGGCCTCCGTCCCTCCACACCGTCACCTGCACGCCTCCCCCCGCCGTGCGCCCGCCCGCAACCCACTCCCGCACCCCCTGCCCCTACCTCCCCCACGGGGTACCCCGCAGCTCTCCTCCCGCTTCCGCGCTCCCCTCCCCCCCGCCGGGCGCCGCTTCCCCGCTCCCGCTCCCTCCGCGTCTTTTCCTCTCCCCTCCCCGCGAAGTTTCGGGGCTGTCAGTCTGTCAGTCTTTCGGGCAGTCGGCACCCGAGCTACAGGCAGCGGGCGCCATTGCGAGCAGAACCGGCCGGGGCAGGAGGCCGGGGCGCCTGGGTCCCGCCACAGCGGGGAGGGCCGACCCGCCAGCCCGCCAGGTACGGGCCGTGGAGGCGCCCAGCGGCTGGCGGCTCCGCCCGCTTCCCCTTCTACACCGACACTCAGTCACTGCCCGCTCCGCGCAGGTGACAGCCCCGGGGGTGGGGGCGCTGGGAGCGCCGGAGGGGCTGGGGGGGTGGAGAAAGGGCAGGGAAGGGGCTGGGGCCGGGGGAGGGAGGGGCAGGGGCTGGGGAGGGAGGGCCCGGCTTGGGGGTGGTCACGGTAGCGGAGGAGAGAGGGCAGACCCGGGATCCGGAGGGAGGGGCGGAGGCCGGAGGGGGGGAGGAGGCCCGGTGGGAGTCAAGGGGAGACGGTTGGGAGCCTCCCGAGGGGAGGGAGTGAGGAGTCTCCGGAAAGGGGAGGGGGAGTGTGGGAGGGGGCCGTGGGGGAAGGGGGACCCCGAGGGATCCGGCCGATTGGGAGGGGCGGGAGAGCAGGGCGCTGACAGGTGAGTCCGGGAGCCTGGGAAGGGCCGGGCCCGGAGTGAGGTCCGGGCGGAGAGGCTCCAGGGGACCCACGGAGGCGGGGAAGGGGGTGGGACGGGAGGGGTCTGGGCGGGAGGAAAACTTGGGGGGGTAGAAGTCAGTGGGGAGCAGAAACCGGGAAGGTAGCCTCTGAGAGAGGGGAGGGGAGCAGAGGTATGTTGGGAGGTAGGGGTGGAGAGGAGCCGGGTCCGCGAGAGGGTCCGGGGCGAGCCGCAGCCTCCGACTCCCAGGCTCGGGGGAGCCGGGGGACAAGGGAAGGAGCGCGGGGAGCGGACTGGAGGGGGGAGGGGAAGAGCGGTTCTAGGGACTGGGGACCGGGAGGGTAGGGAAGCGAGAGAGAGCCTGCTGGGGAGGCAAAGGGGGAAGGGAGCCGGGGGCCTCGGAGGGGAAGGCGAGCTGCAGGAGGGAGGAAGGGAGGGTGAGGGGAGGAGGGCTGGGGAGGGGGAAGAGGGAGGGAGCTGAGGTGAAGAGAGGAAAGGAGAAGGAAGGGAAACCAGAGTGGGGGAGGAGAGGGAGAGGGGAGGGGAGTGCGGGGTGAGGGAGAGGAGCGGGGAGGAGGAGGGCGGCGTTAGGGAGGAAGGAAAAGAGGAGGGGGAAAGGAAGGGAGAGGGCGTGCAGTCGGGGAGGAGGATGGAGCCGGGGGAGAACCGGGAGGGAAGGGAAGGCGGCCCGAGCTCCGGGAGGAGGAGGAAGGGAGCCCGGTCGCCGCCGACACTGCCAGGAGCTGAGGGTCAGGGGGGCGGTGGCTGGGGAGGGCCTACCGGAGGGGGCCGGGAGGGGCGGGCCGGCCGGGAGCAGGGGGAGGAGCCGGAGGGGCGGGGCAGGGGGCGGAGCTGGGGAGCCGGCCAGACTCGGTGGGGAGAGAGGGCGGAAGGCAGAGGGAGCCCGAGAAGGGAGGGGCAGAGGGAAAGCTGCCAGGGATGGGGGGGAGGGGAATCTGCGGGGGGAGGGGCAGGGAACCCGCTGAAGGAAAAGCTGGGGAGGGGTCCCGGGGGCGGGGTGTCCCTGCGGGGGGGAAGCCCTGAGGGGGAGCGGCGATGGTTTTGGGGAGAGGAAGCGAGAGCCATTTCCTGCCTTCAGTGAAGACCCTCCTCTGAGGGCCTCCCCGACCGGTTGCCCAATAGTGACACTCACCTCCGCCCCTTGGCTGGCTCCTATTTCACCAGCTCCAGCAAGTGACAGCTGGAGGGCCCAGGAGATGAAGTTCCCGGCTCCCCACCCCGATCTTCCATCTCCACCTCCTCCCCAGAGAGTCGATTGATTCCTCACGTCCCCAGGCAAGGGCACTGGGGGGTGGGGACCACTGGTGGGCTGGGCCTGGTGCAGAGACCCATCAGGTGAGGGTGGAGGTGCAGCTGATTTCTGGAGCTGACCAGAGCGTGCAGGAGGGGCTTCAAGACCTGGTCCTTGGCCTTTGAAGACCTCTTGGCTTTCTGAAGCCCATCTTCCCTCATTCCCCTTACCCGTATCTGGGGACCTCACCTTTGGAGCTCCTGGGGATAGCTGATGGGGAGAGGTTGGGCAGAGCCAGGGCCCAGGTGGCAGCTGTCCAGAGATGAATGCGAACAAGGATGTGTTTTCTCCTCAGGGTCTGTGGCCTGATCCCCAGGAGGAGCTACCCTGGGTTGCCATGAGAGAGACCTTTGAGGCCCTCAGCTCCCTGGGTGAGCCAGCAGCATTCAAGGAACGTGGGTGGGCGGGAGCCAGGATTCAGGGGCCCCCTGGGCCCCCTGCTTCCCTACTATTCAGACAGCAGGGTCATCCTCAGGGGACTGCCACCCTGAGACCCCAGAGACCCCTGGGAACCTGTAGGGCAGCATCAGCTCCACCAGGGTCTATTTCAGTGCCTGGCCTTGTGGAGGCTGTGCTGGACTGCATGTGCACATGCCTACTCACAGAGCACCCGAATATTTAAATCTGTTCTAACTCTTCCTTCACCTGCCCTTGACTCAATGCAGAGGGGCTGAGGTTGATACCTGGCCAGGCTGCAGGGGGGCCTGGCTATCCCCTGTCATGCTGGCTAGAGACCCTTCCTTCCTGAGCAAGTTGGAAAAAAAAACTTAGATTTTTTTTTGGGGGGGGAAGGGGAAGAGCCCTCCCTTTGATCACCTGTTCTGTACTAGATGCTTTACTTGGTCCCATCCTTCCATCTGTAACAGGATTCTCTGTCGGACAGCCGGAGATGGCCCCCCAAAGTGAGCCCGGGGAAGGGTCCCATAACCAGGAACAGATGTCCCCTTCCAGGGAAGACAGCATGCTGGGCACATGCTCTGGTAAGGAGGTGGGGACCATGAACAGTGGCTCAGGGTGGGATCTACCTTTCCTTCTTCATCAAGTATTTGTTGAGCACCCACTAAGTGCCAGTGTGCTATTCTCGATATTTGGAATACCTCAATGACCAAACAGACAAAGATCCTTGCCTTCCAGGAGCTTAATCTTAGAGAAGGCAGAAAGTCAGCAAACAACAAATGTGTAGGAAGGGGTTCTGTGCTATGGGGAGGGGCGGGGATAAAGCAGGGTGAGGGAGTCTGAGGTGGAGCTGGAGGGGAGGGAGTGTTACAGGATTAAATAATGTGAGAGTAGGCCCCCCTGGGGGGGGTAAGAAGGTAAGATTTGAGCAAGATTTGGAAGAGGCAGGAAGGTGGCTAAGTAGCTCCTGGAGAAGACACGTAAAGTAGGCCCGTGTCTGGCTTCTTGACATTCTGATCTTCTGCAATGATTTGCCTGGAACTTGGGTCCATCTGGTGGCTGGGAGGTCTGCATCCCTCCTCCTAAGGAGTCTCAGGGCAGGGACCTTTCCTTGCTTCCACTATCTCACACACCTATTCCAGAAGCTCCTCAGAGTTGTGGCTCTTGTAACCCACAGAGCCTTTGCCCCTGCCCTGCTGTAGGAGCCTGAGGCTGCCCTGGGGCAGCTGAGAATTCAGTCCCTGCATGTGTGATGTGGGACACAATCCTGACAGCAGGGCTGGGACTCGGGTTTCGAAAGTCCCTGCTTGATAGTACCAGTGGGGCCTCTGTGCATCTGTGATGTCTTTGGAGTCCTTGAGGTAGCCTGTTCTCTGCCAGGACACGAGGTCCCCAGACCAGAGGAAGGCGGCCACACTAAAGAAGCTGAAGCTCCCTGCAGAGGAGGCCAGGCATGCACACCACAGAAGGCTGAGCCCATGGGCTCCTGCCCAGGTAAGTCCTCCCGTGTCTCTAGCCCACCAGGGGCCCAGGCAGAGGGGATGGGGGCCTTGTAAACTCCTGACTGCTATCTGATGAGGCAGCCACTTTGGGTTCTTCCAACCTAAGATGAACCAGTCCTTGACACCTTTCTGTTATAGAGCTTCAGCACCCCTGGGGGGGGGGGAGTGGGGGACATTCCACATCTTAGATGACAGGACTCAGAGAGGCTGGTCACCCAGGGAAACTGACCCTCACCCCCACATCCTCTAGAAGTCTTAACTTCTTCTCCTACCCCCCACCCCTGCCAAGTATGTGCTTATTGATGACTTGAATCACCATTTCCAGGATGACCTACCTTTTCGTTGCCTCTCCACCAAACAAGCTCCCTTCCCCAAATCTCCACTGATCTCAATCTCAGTGGTACCCAGATGCTCCAAATATGTCACAGTGGACTCATCTCCCCCACACCCAGGGTGATCGAACAGTTGACTTTCTCTCTCCACAATGCTGCCGTCATTTCCTTTTACTACCACCAACCATATCACCTTCTGCCTGAGTGATGTCATTTATTCCAGGGGTTTATGGAGGGCCTGCTAGGTACAGACTGTGTTAGGTAAAAGGGAATGAGATTGCTCCTGGGCTGACACAGACCTGGTTTGAATCCTTGCTCCATGTTGACTAGCCAAGTGATCTTAGATAGGCTCCTTTACCTGCAGGAGCTGGTTTGTTCACCTGTAAGCAGGGAGAAGAACCACACCATGGTTGCTGTGAAGCTTTGTGACAGTGGATAGTGTGTCATCTGTGGCTGGCACTCAATAAATGGTGGCAATCCTCATTTTTATTAGACACATAAAGAAATGGAACACAAAATGTCTGCCTTTCAGGAACTAAAGTCTAGTTGAGATGGCATTAGTATGAACTAGGATAAAGAATTAAAAGAACAAATGACAATAAAGCCACATTGCAAGTAAGCGTAACTGTGTTAATAGTAAATGCTGTAGGTGTATAAGTGATCCTCAGGCATTAGATTTGTCAGATTTTGTTGATCTGTGCTGCATTTTGAGGGAGTTGTGACATCAGCCCTGATAGCAGGGTGGAGGTTGAGAAAACATTCTAGGCTGAGAAGAAACTTTAATACAGAGAAGTCAACATGTGGCTGGGGTTAGAGCAGACCAACTTGGCTGCAGGGGAGCTTTTATGCCTGAGGGTAGGAAGAAAGTTGGACTAGGTTGGGGTGAATCTCAGATGCAGCTCAAACTTAATTTATCCTGGAAATAACAGGGCGCTATTGATGGTTCTTGAGTAGAAGACTGGTGTAATGGAAACAAAAGCAGTAGGACAATAGGATAAATAGTTGTTTGGAACTGATGGACCAGTATAAAGAAACCAGGAGTAAATCTGTGACAGTCCGTGTGCACATGTCCAGTAGTGCTCAGGCTATTACAGACTTACAGAGCCAGACAGGAACTCAGATCTGGTTCAGTGATGCTTAAAGAAGAATGATTTAGGGAGCTTTATTTTTTTGGGGGGGGAGCTTTAAAGAAAGAGAACAGATTCGTGCATCCTGCTCCCACAGAAAGCCCCCCAGGAGATGATGATGCGGCACCATGGTTAGGAATCATGAACTAATACAACCCTTATGCCTAAGCAAACTAACTCAGAGTGGTAACCAAGGTCACACTACTAGCTGGTGGCAGAGGAGTACCCAGTGGATGTTCCCAGTCTGGGACCTGAGCTTTTTTTGGCTGGACCATCTCAGGGCCCAAGAAGGGCAAAGCTCCAGTGGGACCCACCTCAAGCCTGCTCCCGTGGAGGGCCCTCTCTGCTTCTCCAGAGGTTGGCACTGCTCACTGGTTCCCCAATTCCCAAAAACTCCATTCTCATCTTCCTAAACTGGGATTTCTCACCTGGCACCAGAGGCAAAATGAAGGGACTAAGGGGCAGGGAGAGCCTTTGAGGGGCAATTCCCTGGCCACTGGAAGGTTGTTAGAGCTGCTCAGCTGATGGGAGACTGTGGTTCTGGAAAGGGCTGGAAGATGGGGTGGGGGGGACAGCTGAGGTGAGCAGAGGAACCTAGAGTGAAGCCTGAGGACTGCAGGAGCATTGAGCATCGTTTATATTCAGGAGGCACAAAAGTACCCCCTTCTACAGAGGCAGGGAGGAACACCCCCTCAGCCCCAGGAAGCCAGGAGAAAGCCCCAGGAGGGACTGGGGGCTCTCCCCACCTTTCTTGGCTGCAGAGAACCACGGAGGGGGACTGAAAGGCGACCTGCAGGTTTGGTAATTCCCCGGAAACTTCCGGTAGAATGGAGAGAACAAAAGCCAGACCTCGGGGTTCCAGAAGCAGTGGTGGTAGTGTTGGCCAATAAACGTTGCCTTAATAAAAGTGGGGCTTGATCGGCTCCTCTCGTTTTCACTTCCCAGGAGATGAGTGGATGATTCGGAAGGTGAAGGTGGAGGAGGAGGATCAGGAGGCGGAAGAGGAAGTCGAATGGCCCCAGCATCTGTCGTTACTCCCTGGCCCCTTTCCCGCTCCGGACCTGGGGCCTCTGGCCGCCACATACAAGCTGGAGCCCGGGGTCCCAGGGGCCCTGGATGGGCTCGCGCTGGCCGGGTGGGCCCCGCCTTCGGAGAAGCCCTACGGCTGCGGGGAGTGCGAGCGGCGGTTCCGGGACCAGCTGACTCTGCGGCTGCACCAGAGGCTGCACCGCGGCGAGGGCCCCTGCGCCTGCCCGGACTGTGGCCGCAGCTTCGCGCAGCGCACGCACCTGCTGCTGCACCAGCGCAGCCACCTCGGCGAGCGGCCCTTCCCCTGCTCCGAGTGTGACAAGCGCTTCAGCAAGAAGGCTCACCTGACCCGCCACCTGCGGACGCACACCGGCGAAAGGCCCTACCCGTGCGCGGAGTGCGGCAAGCGCTTCAGCCAGAAGATACACCTGGGCTCGCACCAGAAGACGCACACGGGCGAGCGGCCCTTCCCCTGCACCGAGTGTGAGAAGCGCTTCCGCAAAAAGACTCACCTGATCCGCCACCAGCGCATCCACACCGGCGAGCGGCCCTACCAGTGCGCGCGGTGCTCGCGCAGCTTCACGCACAAGCAGCACTTGGTGCGGCACCAAAGGGTGCACGAGGCGGCCGGCCGCACCCCGGCCTCTCCCGACGCGCCCGCTTCGCCCGGTTCCCCCGCTCCGTCCCCCACCCGGTCCCCTCCCGGGCCCAAGCCTTTCTCTTGCGCCACCTGCGGCCTGAGCTTCGGCTGGAAGAAGAACCTCGCCACTCACCAGCGTCTGCACCGCGGCGACGGGCGCCCCTTCGGGTGCGACGAGTGCGCCCTGGGCACCGCCGGGGACCCAGCGCCCGGAGGCACACCGGCGACCCAGGGCGCTCCGGCCAGCGAGCGGCCCTGCTGCCCGGACTGCGGGCGCGGCCTCGCCCCCGGGCAACACCCGGCGCGGCACGGACGGGCGCACGCGGGCGAGCGGCCCTTCGCCTGCGCGCAGTGTGGCCGCCGCTTCGGCTCCAGGCCCAATCTGGTCGCCCACGCCAGGGCCCACAGCGGCGCCAGGCCTTTCGCCTGCGCGCAGTGCGGCCGCCGTTTCAGCCGCAAGTCACACCTTGGCCGCCACCAGGCGGTGCACACGGGCAGTCGGCCCCACGCCTGTGCCGTCTGCGCCCGCAGCTTCAGCTCCAAAACCAATCTGGTGCGCCACCAGGCCATCCACACGGGCTCCCGCCCCTTCTCCTGCCCGCAGTGCGGCAAGAGCTTCAGCCGCAAGACCCACCTGGTGCGGCACCAGCGCATCCACGGCGAAGCGGCCCAGCCGGCCTCCGACGCTGACCTCTCAGCCCCAGCCTGGCCCACTCCCACAGAGGTAGGGGCGCCCCCCCTTTTCTTCTGAACCCTCTCCTCCCCAGGACCCTTCCTCGGCTCACTGGTTGGAGAGATCCATGCCGCAGATCTTCTGGGCGGTGAGCACGATGGCCTGGGTGGCGATGGCTGTCCTTCCCTCCTTATGGTGCCGGAGAGAAGTCCGGAAAGGATAACCAGCTTTGACATTCTGTGACAAAGACAATGCTAAGAATGAACACTTGCTGGGAACAGTTCAGGCCCCAGTCCTGGAAAGAATCCCACCAAGAGACCCCATCAGAAAGCAGACATTTGTTTTTTGGAGCCCACACTGGCTACGGCCTGGCTGGGTCAGCAGCCTCTACAGGGGGAGTGAAAGAATGGTCATCTGTGTGAAGTGTTATTAAAATTAAAATCTGAAGTTCTGGGGCTATTAAATGAGCACAGGGTGGGAACCCATTGCCTCTTCTCAACCACTGCCCACCTCAGTCCTCCCAAGGACCATCCCTTCCTATCCGGGGTAAGCTAAATTTAGCCAGTTGCTGAAAATGGGCTCTACCAAATGAAAATATAATAGAGTTAATTGCTAAACCACTGTCCCGGCTCCTGCTTCTAGATCAGCCATTTGATGGAAGAAACATTAACATGCATTTCTCATTGGAAGTGTTGAGGCTAGAGCTGTAGGGAATGCAGAGGGGGCAGGGTGCCCTTTGGCCATTCCCACAAGACAGTGTGACACACCGTGGGCTCTGGATCTTTCCCAAGGGGATATTGGGACAGCAGCCCCACCCTGCTTGGCAGTGTGAGGAAGGACAAGAGCAGCAGATGAAGGTTGCTTTCCCAACACAATTTCCCCTAAGTTCTGTCTTTATGATGGATGCCTGATCCAGATGTCCCTGTAACTGCATGTGCCCAGCCAGGGCTGGCTGGCTGGTAGGCAGTGAAGAGCAGAGTAGGACAAAGGGGAACATGCTGGACTTGGAGAAGGCTTGGGCCTGACCCCTCCTGTGCCTCTTGTAGGACCTGGAGCAGAGCATTCATTTTCCTGGGACTCTGCTTTCTCATTACCATAGATTGTTGGTTGATGAGGGCTGAGGCAATTTCCAACTCTAGCATTACTATGACCAAAAACAACCTTAGCAAATATTTACTGGGTGCCTACTGCATGCCAAACACTATGCTAGGTAGTAAGCGAGACAGACAGACTTGCAAGAAATGTAAGAAATCCTAGGCTAGGGCAAGCTGAGAAGCCTTTGGTGAAGGCACCTAAAATCAAGGAAATGTCGAGAGAGGTTTGCAAGATGAGGACACCTCTAATGTGAGGCCTAAAGAATGAGCATGAGTGGCCAGATGAAGGGGGAGAGGATGTGCATGTAGAGGTCCAAAGTCTAGCACAGTTGGAGTGCCGAGTGAGCGTGGAATGAGAGGGCTGCCCAAGTAGCCCGGGAATGAGGACGAGGACAGGTAGACCTGGAAAGCCTTCAGCACAGATGAGGGAGTTCAGATTTTACCCAGGGCAACAGGAAGCCATGCAAGGGTTTGGGCAGAGCAGGAATAGGATGACGTTGACATGGATGCATTTTAGAAAGATGACTGGCTGCCTTTAAAGAGGGGCTGGCGGGAGACCTGCAGGTGTGCAGTCCAGGTGACAGGTGGTGGAGACTGTGGACCACAGCTGTGCCAGAGGAGATGGAGAGAAGTAGAAGACCGAAGAGACACTCACCAGGTACAGGATGGAGAGGGAGATGGAGGGTGGCGAGGTTGGCCTGATTTCTGCTTGACAGTGGCATTCCCCTGAGATGGGCAACACAGGAGGAGGAGCAGTTCTGCCCCCTGGGGAGCAGTCTTAGATCTGCTGAGAGGATGGAACCAGTGCGTGCCTAGTAGGAAGCAGGCCCTGTGGGTGCAAGCTCCGAAGGGGGCCTAGGCTGGAGAGAGGTCTGAGGCCCGTTGGCATGTTTCTCAAGCTGTGGGGCAGTGGATGATCCACAAGAAGTGAGTGTGGAGCCAGCAAAGAGGGGGCCTTGGACAGAGCCGTCGGGATACTCATGTTCAGGGGATGGTGTGCAGAGAAGCCTGGAAAGACTGGGAGCGTGCGGTGCCAGAGAGTGAAAAGGGAAACCCTGAGATGCACAGCAGGGCTGAGCAAAGGCAGTGTTTCCAGAGAGAGGAAGAAGTCAGCAGCTGAAGGCCGTCAAGAGGTCACGTAATAAGAACTTCCAAATCCTCTGGATTTTGCAGCAAGGAGATCGATGGTGGCCTTGGTGAGAGCTGCTCCTGGGGCAGTGGGGACAGAATTCAGGTTGCAGTGGTGAATCACAAATGCACAGTTCCACAGAAGGTAGAAGAAAATGAGACCAAGGTGCCAGTGAGGTACAAGGTGCTACTGAGGTAGGTTAGTTAGGAGGCCTCTCTGACTGTAAAGTGAAGGAAGGCACACACGTGCATGGGAATGCAGTTAATTTACCTTTTGTGACCAAGAATGAGTAGGTGATTCCAGGTGAGACTGTGACGTGTGGCCATAAAATAGGGGCTATTGAGTTTGGCCCTGGCAGCGTTTTAAATACTTGGAAATTTCACTTGAAACTCTGGACTTCCAGCTTCTCTTGTGAAAAGTTGGAAGATTTGGCCACTTGTGGCTGGAGCTGAGTGGAAGTGGCCTCTTCAGACACAGGGAGAGGTGCAGTGTGTTGGGCCCTCGGCTCGCCCGTTGGCTTTCCTCTCTGGGGTTGCCTCCCAGGCCTCTCAGGCACTGACTTTGTGATTCCTGCTAAAAAAAAGTCATCTCACAGACTTTCCAAATCAAACACATGAAAGCAACATTTATGTTGGTTATACCAATGTTGATATTTCTCTAAACATTCTGGAATTAAAAAAAAAAACATTCTGGAATTCTTGTGTAAAAAGAACTTTTAGGGGCGCCTGGGTGGCTCAGTTGGTTAAAGTATCTGACTCTTGATTTCGGCTCAGGTCATGATCTGAGGGTCCTGAGATGGGGGCCCCCCATTGGGGTCCATGCTGGGCGAGGAGACTGCTTAAGATTCTTTTGCTCCCAAGGTGCCTGGGTAGCTCAGTCGGTTGAGCATCTGACTCTTGGTTTTGGCTCAGGTCATGATCTCAGGGTCCTGAGATCCTCCTCTGCACTCAGTGGGGAGTCTGCTTGGGATTCTCTTTCTCAAACTCCTTCTGCCCCTCCTGCTTATGCAAGCATGCGCATTCTCTCCCTCCCCCACCCTCTTTCACGGAAATAAACCTTAAAAAAAATATATTCTTTTGCTCCCTCATCCCCCCTCCCCCCAACACTGGTGCTCTCTGTCTCTATCTTAAAAAAAAAAAAAAAGTTAGCTTTTCTATCCTGTAGCATATTTGGCGAGACATTTACAGGACTTCCTGTTCTTTTGAATCTTCTTGACAAGGTGTATCTTTGTCCTTTGAGTTTGTTTGCAAATAGTCAAAGCATTTAGTCTCGAGCCTGGTGGTAATCAAAACCGGAGATGATGAGGGTGCCTGGGTGGTTCAGATGGTTAAGCATCTGCTTCGGTTCAGGTCATGATCTCAGGGTCCTGAGATTGAGCCCCAAACTGGGCTCCCTGCTTGGTGGGGAGTCTGCTTCTCCCTCTCCCTCTGCCCACCCCAATACCCCCTGTGCTCTCTCTCTCACTTCCCCTTTTAAATAAATAAATAAATAAATAAATAAATAAATAAATAAATAAATAAAATCTAAAAAAAACAACAACAACACACACAACAAAGACAGGAGATGATGCTAAAAAATGCAGTGTGTCTGCAATGAAAGACTGGGATTCGTGAGGGCTGTTTCCAGGGAGGAGTTCCGAGCAGTTACAACATACACCGTTCACAACACCCCTGGTGTGAACCAGCCCAGGTATGACTATCTTGGTAAAGCATCAACCTTTTTACCTTAGAACTACATCCCAGCATGTGAAAATGCTCTGAGAAGTAAAGCACAAATGTACTATTTCTACATAGAAAACAGAAGGTTTTATTAATTAATTGAAATTTATTTATTTTTTCTCCAATCCTGTTCCAAACAAAGATTGATGGTAGCCTCTGGGTGTTGAGTACCTGGTCTTTGTCCCCCGTATGTACCAGCCACAGCTGAACCCCGGGGTGTTTGATCACACCATGTGTCATTCAGGAGCTTGCATTGGACGTGAGAGATGAAGGTGAAGGAAATGCCACATGAGCGCTTAGTAGTTTTGTGGCTCTAAAGTCAGGAGACAACAGGGTGGAAGATGTGGGTCTGAACACGAACTGAGCAGAGACGGGGTCCAGCTAAGGACTGAGGGAGAGGAAGGATCCAACTCAGCCTTCTCCCCACCCACCTCTCCCCTGTGCCCCTTGAAGCCCCGTGGACTCCTCAGATCCTGCTCTCTCACAGCTGGTGATTCTCCTTTTTCTCCTAAGTGCCATGGAACCCGTGCTTCCCACGCCTTTAACATGGTGAAATGCACATTATGTGAAGTTTACCATTTTAACCATTTTTAAGTATACACTCCAATGGCATTAAGTACATTCACAATGTGATATAAACATCACTGCTATGTTTCCAGAACCTTCTCATCCCAAACAGAAACTCTGTCCCACTGTTTGTTATGTGATGGCACATGGCAATAAGGTTACTTACTCTTAGGATCAGGGAGAGGGCAGTACAAGGCCTGCGGTGTTAGGGGTGGGGTGGGGTAGGGGGTTAGCGGGTGCAAGGGGGGCTGCCCTAGATCCCAGCCCACTGTCCTGGTAGCTGGAAGAATGAGCTTCACATCCCTGTAGCTGCCAACAGGTTAGAAAACTCTCTTCTACCCCACAGATCTGAGTTCTTGCCAAACTAACTTACCACAGAAGCCGTGGCTCTCTAGCAGGTTTCCCTGGACTATAATAGTTCACAGAGATGACAAACACCATGGAGGCCTGAACCCCACAAGGCATCCACTAGTGTTTCCTCATGATCTAGACTTTATTAGACTTTATTAGAGTCCTCAGGCCTCTCTGTATCCCACCTCCACCCCATCCCAAATGGATGGGCCAGGGACAACTCTCTTATTGCTATCATTTTATAGGATTTTGGGTGGCCATCAGCACTCAGGGGATCTGTACACATAAGAGCAAGGGACTCATTCCTGATGGACAGACACTTCCCCCATCTCTAAGTCTTTTCCTGTCCCCTCCAACCTCCTAACCCCCAACTGATCTAATAGGGAGGTCTTAGATGGAACACATCCCCATAGCCATTCTGGTGATGACCACGTGGCCGGGGGAGGTGGAGAAAGATGAAGAACCGTGTTGGCCTCCTGCACCAGAACATACGGTGACCAAAAGACAATGCTTCCTACCTGCTTGCGACTTCAAGACCATTCCTGACAGCTCCACCACTCCTTCTAGCATGAATAGCAATGAGCGGGCACCCAGCGCTCCCACGCACTCCATTCCTGCCTTGTTGTTGCTTTTCCATTTGAGCAGGAGGGGTCAGTGAAGGAGGAAGCCTGGTGTGTTGTGGATAAACACAAGGCGGGTGTGCTTTGTATCGGGAGATATTCAGATGCTCACACTGTTCCTATTGTCTTTCTAGGGGACACCAGGCTTGGGAAATTAAATTAGTTTTTTTTTTTAAGATTTTATTTATTTATTCATGAGAGACACACACAGAGAGATGCAGAGACACAGGCAGAGGGAGAAGCAGGTTCCATGCAGGGAGCCCGACGTGGGACTCGATCCCAGGACTCCAGGGTCACGCCCCGGGGTTAAGGTGGTGCTAAACCACTGAGCCACCCGGGCTGCCCTAAATTAGTTTTAAAGAGGGTATTTGGCAGCAATTAAATGAGCAAAAGGAAGTGGGTAAACTTATGAGATACTTAATCTAGGCTCTAGTGAAGTCAGCCTATACCATGTTAGTAAGACAAAAAAGCTTCCATGCAGTCAGCCCCCTATTTCTTCCCCTTCTCCATTGGTAGGGCTGGGCAAGGAGAACCATGGGTCAGAGGGACCTGCTGGACATCTCTGTGAATCTTGAGTCAGAAATCTCCATATGTTCCCCAGACTTGGTTGGTCAACTCCGCAGACAGGGACACTCTGGCGTTTTAATATTCCACCTGTTAAGACTGGCTGAGCTTTAATGTCTATCCAGCCTTGTGCAGACACTATAGGGAATTAAATGAAAGATCTTGCCCTCGTGGCATTTAGAGTCCAGAGAGAAGACAGGCAGCTTGTGGCTTTGGGGCCCGGCATTTTGGCTGCTCGAGGAGACTCCAAAGAACTAAAAGCCAAGGTCCTGACTCACAACGCTAAGCCTTAGGGACAGAGGGCTGGAGCATCACCAAACACCTAGACCCTCACATGCAGTGGTGTGGCTCAGGGATGAGCACAGGAGGAGTCCAGAGCAGGGGAGGCAGCGGGCCAGAGCAGTCACAGGTGGCAGGGTAAGGAGGAGGGTCCTGAGTGAGTCTTGAAGGATGCTAGGCCCGGAGCAGACAAAGAGGAGATGGGATAATCCAGAACAATCCAAGACAGCGGGTAATTAAGTGCTGAGCTGAGCAGTCAGGAGCAGTGGGGCAGGCGGTATGGGGAGGGTTTGTTGTTACTACCACTAGTAATAATGGTAGCACATATTTACCTAATACTTGCTGTGTGCCAGGTCCCAGCCTGAGTTCTTCATATATACGTGTGTGTATGTACATATATGTAAACACAGGGGGGGCGCCTAGGGGGCTCAGTCAGTGAAGCATCTCCCTTCGGCTTAGGTCATGATCTCAGGGGCCTGGGATTGAGGCCTGCATCAGGCTACCACTCAGCAGGGAGTCTGGTTCTCTTTCTCCCTCTGTCCCTCCCCTCTGCTCATTCTTTCTCTCTCTCACTCAAGTAAATAAATAAAATATTAAAAAATTTTAAAAAATAAACACAACCAATCTTCACAATAACTACATTATCCTCACTTTATAGATGAGGAAACTGAGGCACAGAGCAATTAAGTCATTTGAATGAGGTCATTCATTCATCCATAGACATGCCTTGAGTACCTGCTATGTGTCTGGCACTGTTAGATGCTGGGAATAATAGTCATAAACTAAACTATCTTGAACACTTACTTTGTGCTAAGTACTCTACAAATTAAGGGTTTTACAGGGGCTGCCCTCTTTTCCTTACCATCATCCTATGAGTGGGCATCATTGTCCTTGGTTTAGTTTTTCTTTTCTTTTTTTTTTTTTAAAGAATATTTATCTATTTATTCATGAGAGACAGAGACACAGGCAGAGGGAGAAGCAGGCTCCCTATGGGGAGCCCGATGTGGGACTCAATCCCAGGACCCTGGGATCATGACCTGAGCCAAAGGCAGACACTCAACCACTGAGCCACCCAGGTGCCCCTTATTTAGCTTTTCTGAGGAGGTAAAAGAGGCTCAGCGAGTCTAAGTAACATGCCCACAGTCACACAGCAGTACATGATGAAAGTAACCCAGTGG